GCAATTGCAGTCAGATGCATTCTGGAAAGTGGTAGTGTGAGTATGCCCTAAGGGCCTTGCTCCACTACTCTGCAAATGTGCAAAACGAGAGTGAATCTTCCGTTAGAAGATGGAAAAAAACACAGCCATGATTTTTGTCGTTTCTGCATGTTGAGACTAGTGGAGGGATGCCCTAAATACGGTCGGTTCCACAAAGATACACTGTAAGTTTCTGGAGTTTGTCGCCACATTCAGAGGGTCTGGCTCGTTGCTTCTCAAAATCAAACCAAAAAAAGGAAAAACGAAGTTGAAGTTTCCTACCTCCCGCCTATCACGGCAGGAGGGCGCCTGACATCACTGAGAGGACGTTTTGTCCCGTCAGTCGTGGGCTTAGGGCACTACCCACACTCAGGGCATACTCACACCACAGATTTCTTACGTATTTTTGGACGGAATTGCAACCAGATACATCTAGGTATGGCCGTGAACGCTGTCAGATACATTTGAGATACTGCTAGTGTGAGTACGCCCTCAGATCCTTTTTTTTCTTGTCTTTTCGTCTTTTCTTTTGCCCCGACTTCGTTTTTTTTTTCTGGTTTTTTATTTCCTCACAATCCTTTTCCACCCCCCAAGTGGCGGGCCTCAGAAGTTTCTCTTTTTCTTTTCTCTTTTTATTTCTTTTCTTTTTTTGTCCCTTTTTGGAAGCTTGGCACTTCGGCTTTCATTGTCTGCCGTGTTTGTTGTTTTCACATTTGGTGTCCGCCCATCCATTGCACCACCAGAATAGAGGCCCCAAAGCTTTACCGGGCCTCTGCCGAAGCGCGCAGGCCCGGGTGCAGTTCACTGCAATAGCAGGGACAGGCAGGGGCGTGAACTGGTGGTTTGAGGAGATCTTGAGGAGGCAGAAGACATGGTGGTGGAAGAGACAGACAAGGACAAAGAAGGTGCGAGGAAGGAAGTGTGTTGGGTGAAATGCGTTTTTCCATCTCCTGCTTTCCCTCTATCCTTCTTGCGCGTGTGCAACAGTGTTGAGATCTGAAAAGAAATGGAGCGATCTTGATAACAAATGGCGCGTTTACGTCCACCGGATAAAGGAAAAGAAGTATTTCTTACGTCGGGTGTTACGAAGGAAGGGCGGCCGGTCGAGGGAGGAAGGGGGAGGTAGGGAGTGGGATGAAGGGAGGGATGGAAGTAGGAGGTCAGGTGGTGATCGGGCTGAGGAAGGAAAGGGAAGGAGGAGAGCGAGGGAAGGAGGAGGTCAGACAAAGATCAGGCGAGCGAAGGGGGCGAGCGAAGGGGAATAGGCGGATGGAGGCCAGAGGGAGGTTGAAGAGAAGTTGCGGAGGAGGCCTGTAGGGAGGGGAAAGGCGGCAGAGAGTTGGGCGGAAGCAGGAGGTCAGGTGGAGATTGGGCCAAGGAAGGGGAGGAAGGAGATTGGGGGAAGGAGGAGGTCAGTGCAAATCGGGCGGAGGAAGGAGTAGGACGGAGGAGATAGAGGGAAGGAGGTCAGGCGGAGATTGGGCAAAGGAAAGGGAGTCAGGTGGCCAGGGGAAGGAGGGCAGTGGGAGGTTTAAGAGAAGGTCCAGAGGAGGCCGGGAGAAAAGGGAGGCGGCAGGGAGAAGTAGGGCGAAGGGAGGTCAGAAAGCAGAACGTAGTTCAGAGGTTGAGTGACGTATGGAGGAAGGGAAGAGGTAAGGGGGAGACGAGCATGGGAAAAAGCGTGAAGAGGAAGAGGACGAAGTGGAAGGAGGCCGGGAGGAAGGGAAGGATGGCAGGGTGAAGTCGGGCAGAGGGAGGGCAGATGGAAGGAGGAGGGAGGGCAGGGGTTGGGTGGGGTATGGAGCAAGGGAAGAGGTCAGGTAAAAGTGGAGAGAGAGAGAGAGAGAGAGAGAGAGAGAGAGAGAGAGAGAGAGAGAGAGAGAGAGAGAGAGA